ATACTCTGTACTCAGTAGGATCTGCGAGTTACACTGACTAAAATGATAGTTTCAATTTTTTTATTGTAAAAATATATGCATTAATAAGCTATCTGAGTGGGTTTCTGGTATTGCTAAATCGTACATGTTATATGTACAGCAGTAGCCGGTCGTGTGGACTGGCCGTGAGAACAAAGCTGTGCTTTTAAAAGTTGTCACTTGATTCACAAAGATAGATAGTTTTAGATTGACGTGTGAACAAAAAGAAGTTATATGTGCTGATGACAATTACTACTGTATTTTCCTAAGCGTTTTTTTAACAACAAAATTCTGATACTTCTTAATAGGCAGACGCGTTCCCGACAAGGGCGTAGAATAAGGTTTTACATGCAGCGGTAAGATAACAACACATCATGGTTATTATAAGTAGGCCCTTAAAGAAACGTTAATCAACTTAGAGCCTAATCTACGTTTAACCATCCTGGAATCATCGTTTAAGTATCAAATAAAAATACCGCCGTCAACAACAACAGCAGCAAGGCGTCGTGCGACGCATCGTTATATCCAAAGGCTATAACCATAACAGGCACAGATTGGAGTGTCTAATGACTAATTCTGAATCAGCACAAAACGAGCACACTTTAATATAATACATAAGAAAATGCTACAGCTTGAATATTTTTATTAAATATTCAAACTGTAACACTTTTAATTTTCTTTCAAAGGAGCGAGTTTGGTATGCAAAGTGGTTAATAGTCAGTTTATTACAAGCTTAACCAGGCAGTACAAGCGGGTATTTGATGCAAGCTGGACAGATATTCTTTGCATTGTTGCAATCTAGGTTTCAGAAACGGCCCGTGAAATCGAGCACGACGCTAAACTAAAAATATTATTATATTATTTAGCGTTTTTAGACTGAAGTACAGGTGGAAGATTAAGGTACAGTGATCGCCAACAACAATAAGAAACTTTGCCAAGATCACTAGCGTAATCGTTTATGAGCATGGTAAGTATGATGCTAGGGTCTCAGTCTTTTGTACCGGTAGAAATATTTACACGGCTTACTGGGAACTCAGCATTTTGTAGCAAATGAAACGCAGATTTATGAAATTAAAGAAGTCGATTTACGTACATATGGGACTCAGAGGATTTGGACTAATTATCCCGCCGAAGCGAAGCGAAGGAAGAAAGGCAAAAATCTAGAGTAAAACCTAAATTACCGCCGCGTAGCGGCGGCGCTCGGCTAGTTGGATTCAGAACGAGCAGGTGAGGAGGCGAAGGGAGAAGTTTGAGAGGGTGGCTCTCGACAAGGTCCAAGCTGTAGATATAGGCGGTAGTATAGGCGGCGGGGACTTAGGTAGGAGAGCAATGGGTGAGCGGTCTGGCGCACCCACCTCTCAGTTGCCATTTGGACGGGAAGTGTTCAGATCAAGCAGCTAAATATAACTACGCGTAAGGTGCTGCGGTGAAGACCGGCCTTACCCAACAACACACGAGGTTTACGAGCGCTTTTCCGTAGAGCGTTAGTGAGGTTCGCCGGCGTCGAGAAGCCAGCGGAGAGCGTGCACGTCTAATTAAAGGTAGTGCATTAGTAGTTAAGTGAGGCGAGTCATGATGCGTTGGCGAGGCATAGGGTAGCTGGGAACGTGGCTAGCGACCACGTGGGCTGAGGGGACTGTTCATTGACCTCTTGGCCGTAGAGCACAAGACCTGGAGCGGGTGCGAGCTTGACCTCCGCACAGGAAGGGTCCGAGCTCACTTGTATCTTCCATGTTCGGGTTTCATGAGGCACGAGAACGGGCTCAAAGACCTGCCCGAGGTTGCCAGCTGCCTAAAAATGTCCTCTCCCTAAGCCGGTCCCTGTTGTGGTTCACCTCGGTGGGCTACCCCAGTGACATTCGTCACTGGCGACCTGTTAACTCTAGCTCCTGCTCTTGCACGGCCCCTTCCCCTCCAAGTTGGATTTACCAGCGTAGTGGCAGCGATGCCGACAGCAGCTTCAGCAGAACCAAGTATCCAAAGAAGACGTCAGTATAATGCGCCTAAAAATGCTGTGGATGATGATATGTCATTCCCACGAACGCTCGTCATCCGAGTACGAACTCAATAGGGCGAACCATGTCCAGCAGCAGTTACAGGATCAACTCGATTAAAGTAGGCCAAGCTGATAACACTTCAACACGATTTTGGCAGGTCTTGATATCTTCTAATCATTATTCAGCTTGTTCATTACAAGCTCCAGCAGCACTCTTGATACCTACTTATCATTACTCAGCTTGTTCACCAGGAGCTCCAGCAACATTCCAAACGATAGCGTCTCCATGCGAGATAGGGTCACGTTTTCATCTTTAACAGTCTCAGATAATTCGTACCGGTGCTCCTCCCTCTCTTCGATAAGGGCTTGGACCTCTAGTTGAGCCTTCATGATCATCTCCAGACCCGTGCTGATTTGCTCCAACTTCTCCTTCAATGCCGCAAGCTCCTCAAGACGTGCGCTTACCAACTGCCGCACCAGTGCTGCCTCCTTCATAGCAATTCTGCGCTAGATGTCAGAAAGAAATGGAGCTCATGCGAACTTAGCTCATATATCTAAATTTAGACAATTGAACGGATAGTTGTCATTTTGTGGTCCACAGGTAACTGACGACATGTAATTTATAATAAATTTCGTTTTGCTAAGGTTGCTTCTGGTTTGGCCAGGTTGCTGGAAGTGTTGCTTTAATGACAAGGTTGCTATATGTATCGTCGTCAGATTGTAAATGGGGAAACTTATGGTTGCGGTAGCGTCATTCGTAAAGGACCGTAAAATTAGCATATGGCATGACTCGAAAAGCTGATTGGCTAATGATCTTGAAGCGAAATTGATGACTTAAAATAATTTAATGAGGACGTAGTATTCTTGTCAGAAGCAGTTCCATGACACCGGAAGAGACTTCTGTAATTGCATGTGATTGGAAGGGTGCTGTGGTGTTGGAATTCCCACGTGAACTCTAGCTACGAATGTAGTTAGGATGTTCCCACAACAATACGCCTACTAGGATAGTAAACGATCGTTCGGGCGGACCTGAAGACCCCAGTTCTGCCCTTGCACCGGGACAAACTGGACCTTGTAAACTACTTATATAGGCCAACCAGTAAAATAAGAACACGCTACTAGCACGAGCAAAGCTAGCAGGTGTTTTGAATCCTCGTGGTCCCAACAGCGGAAGGGTACCAGGCACGGGTAAGCCTTTTACGAGATCACCGAGTGTTCAGCACTCGGCTGGAAGAAATAAAGGGGAGGCAATTAAAGCACTCCCAGTCGTGCAAATAGGCAACAATAAGCCGTCACGTAAAACCTCCCGATAATAATCGGCCAATACACAAAGTCTCTTGGCCTTGCCGGATGAACCCTCGCTACAGAGCTTCGAGTTCACCGACAGGCATAACACACTCAAACAAGCTTGACCTGACGCTTACCTTGAAGCCGGACGTCGCTCTGTGTGCTTGAGTGGAAATTCTGTTCTGTATATAAGCTTACCCTTTCGGGTCTATTCCTAATAAGAAGTCCTAATCAAGTATA